AGGGAGTCTGACCTTCAAAGTGGCACCATTGAGTACATATTCAACAATGACATTAATAGCCTTGGATTTGAATGATTTCAACAATTGTTGAACATCAATTTCGGCATTGTTGGATGTCTTGGCAATCTTTTTTATTGCCAGTATCCCATCTTCCAATCTTGTTTTCTTTGGCAACTTTTTGGAGTTCGAGCAATCTCTTGTGATCCTCGCTTGGATTCTTGACCTCTTTGACCTCACCAAAACCGGCCTCCACAACAGCCTCATTAATATTCTCATCACCCAAAAAGATGGTGGCATAATTCAAGCCTGTTTCTTTCACAGTGTAATCGACTCGAAACTTGATTGGCTTACCAACAAGCTTCTTTCTCAAGAACTCTCTTGCTTCAAAAGCGAAAGGCTAATTCATCAAGAAAGTAAGAGAAACATGATGATCATCGTGAGGACATTGAATCCGAATCAATAATGATGTGCGAGTTTTTGTTATGATGAGATATTTCAGTGGAGGAGTCCACAATAATTATAGTAAAAAGAACACGATTATTATCATAATGATTTAGCAACAATATGGGTGGATGATATGATTGATGATGGAAGGCGATTCGCGTATTGCAACATCCAAATATGAATACTGTTCAATACACCAACAACGGCAATAATATGAGCAACTTACCTCATCTTCATCGTTTTTAGATCCAATACGTGGAGTTTTGACATCGGCAAGAACGAGAACCTTTTCTTTATCAGCTCTTTGAGGATGGCAAACTTTGATGGTGTTACCACTAACAACTGATTTGACAATACCGTCGAGAGAAGCAGACATGATGATGAATCAATAATGGATGGATGTAACACACACTATAGAGTGGGAAAACAAGCACACTTAATTGTATGAAGTAAAACAAAGATTAATCTTCTTGTAGTAAAAGTACTAGAAAAGAAGATCTTTACAGGACCAGCAGTAAATATGGGAAACGAGTTCGGTAATCAATGATGAAAAATTCCTTCTCTCTGAAATCAATCTTACAAGGTTTGCCAAGGTGATGATTGGAGGAAAGATGTTTTGATATTTTTTGCGTTGTTGAAGCAAAGGGACGTGGCTTTTAGATTTTCAAGAGCATCCATTGTAAACTTGACTCACTCTTTGCTTGGGACTACTGCCATCCGCCATTTGTCACTCTTATTCCCTTTTAAAGCGCAGTGGGTGTCGCAATCTTAAAGAACTGCTAAAAATCAATGAATGGGTTGAATTATTAATGGTGAAGACCCAGATTATTTGTTTATTCCAAAATGATCAATAGAAAATCTTGCAGCCACGTACGATGAATAAACAAATAATCTGGGTTTGAAAAGAACTATTAACTTTCGGAGGACACCACACACACCATTGATTGAGGCTTGTGTTATTGACTGCTCCGAACACAAATAGGTCTATCGAAGGATAAACATTCAACTTTCTGAATCACATATTCGAGAATTACAAAAGTGATAACATTACACCAACCACATGATTTGGAAGTATTTCACTTTTATAATTCTCAAGGGTTGAATGAAATTCGGTCGAATCGCTTGTGAAACAACAAATTGAAACAGTTGACCAAGATTATTGTTTTATGACATTATCAAGACTTGTCTACTGCTTCTTCTTCTTTGCTTTTGGATCAGAGGCATCGCCACCAGTGCTGCTGCTCGTTGCTTTCTTTCGCTTCTTGCTTGACAAATCGTCAATGTCACCAGCATCTTTGAGAAGAGCTTCAGTCTCGGATTGGAGAGCATCCTTTTCTTCCACAAACTTTTCAAATTCGTCGTCATCGTCTTCCTCCTCCTCTGCGTCTTCATCAGATTTGGAATCAACAAAATCTTCATCGTCTTCTTCATCGTCTTCTCCTCCTAGTATTTCATTAATATTTGGTTGTTCCCTAGAAATTATATTTTCAACATTGAGGCCCTTACTTGGAAGGAATTCTGCGAGAGAATCGTACTCATTCTTGTCAATGTTCGAGAAGGTGTGATTTTGCCATTCTTTAACACAAAAACTAAATCAAAGAATCTAGAGCCGCTTCCAGTCGTGTCAGCTCTTTGGAATTTGATAGATTTGATTTCGTCATGTCTCAAATAAATAACTGGTTTGTGAAGGAAGAAGATGGATTTTTCAAGGAAGAACAAGAATCCTTCGTTGGCTTTGAGCGAGCACTTGATTCCCTTCTTGTCATTGAAACTGTTGTACTTTCCAGGACCAATGAGCTTCTTTCCTGTCAAGGCTCTCAAAACTTTTGCAAAAACTTCATAAGTCTTTCCACTCATGGTGGGGAGAGTGCATCTTTTGGATAGTCATTTGGATCAAAGTTGAGTTGGAGAGGATCTGTTGGCTTAATTTTGGCTTCCTTCTCAAATTGGAAGACAATATGGAAATGAGATTTTGACCTTGTCTAACAGGTACATCCAAGCTAATCACCAAGTACATGTGCTTATCATCAGGTTTTGGAAGAAGGAAGAGTGTGGAAATTTGTTTGTAGAAAATCTTGTGCACATAAGTTCTACCGTACAATCTAAGGTTGTTCTTGTAGAGATCCACATTGTATTTACCTCTAGGTATGACCACAGGCATTTGAGAAAATGATGCAATTGCATTGGCAGTGTCATTTGAGAAGGCTGTTCTTTTAGCAATTTCTTCGTGGAGTGCTTCAGCCGAAAGTGGGTTTTGTTTCTTTTCAGTGCTCTTTTCTTTGGTTCCATCTTCTGTAGCTCCATCTTCTTCTGCATCTTCAGGACAGACTAATCGAATTTCTGTGAGTTGTATCGAATTCTTATCGGCTGGTTCATCATCTCTAAACTCTAACACTAATTCAGAATTCTTTGGAATGTTTTGACAATTTTTAACATCATCGGACAGGGAAATTGTAAACATTTCCTTATTATCAAAATACATGGTCATGTTGTTGCCTTTGATAAGTGGCTTGCCCCAATTGACACCAGTTAGACAAGCATCCACCTTGTTAAATGGCTTATCCTTTTCTAATTGTAATTGTGTAATTTGTGACTCTAAAGCATCATAGTCGGATTCTTTAAATCCGATATATTCGACCATATCTTCATTGTCTTTCCAAATCCGCAAGCAATAGCCTTTTGTTGTGTAGAGCCATTCAAATTTTTCAATTTCGTTCTTTTTGACGACAGAACTCCCTGATGATATGATCGCTTCGTTGCCGATGGGTTTCCAGATAAACGTTTCATCTTTTTTGCATCAACAGTGAGAGTGCCTTGTGGTCCGGCCGTACGACCAAGCAGGATGGAATTAAATTCTTTGGAGGCCATGGGTGATGATGATGATCAGGTAAGGCACCACACAAAAATGAAATTTCGATATTTTTTGTGTTGAATTTTTGACAAATATTTTTGTTTGGCGGGCTGAAATCAACGTGGTCAGACAGCTTCAACCACTTCGAGGAACGCTGGTTTGTTGACTTTGGGAACGTACACCACTAGTCGTTTCAGGCAAGATCGTTCGAATTAAAATTTATTGTTTTTACATTGTATGGAGAAATCAATTAAAATTTCATGCAGTTATAAAAGGCATAACCTAGGGCAGAGTCTGGATCGTTGACAGCCACAATAAATTCTTCATAGTCGATGGCTCCACTTCCATCCAGATCCATTCGATCGAAAGCAAGAGAAAGATGTTGCTCCAACGTATGCCACCTATCATGTGAGAGCCTGTAACCATTCATCTTAGCTTGACCGACTGTAAGTGGGGAATATTTGACGCGTGGTTGTTGTGCATTGGAACGTGCCCGAAATGGACGAAAATTCATGCAATTAAGGAATGTTGATTCGCAATAACAAAGTGCACACAACTCCTACTTACGATAGAATTTCTTAAAGAAAGACAATAGTTCACTCTTTTCGACCGTTCCATCATTGTTGATATCAATCAAGCTGTACACGACTATTTCCAATAAGATCGCATCATTTGCATGTTCATCGATTAGTACATTCAACGAAATCCAAAATTTCCACTTACATTTCAAAAGCTCCTTCTTGTCTGTGTACAAGGTATTACTCAAACCAGTGGAGAGTTCTACAAAGTCAACATGTCCTGACTTCTCGCTGTCGAAAACATCGAAAATCTTATTCACTGAAGTGAGCGCATGATGATCAAGAGAGGAGGAGAGCGTTGATCGGATCACTTCCTCAAATTGTTCTCGATTGATTCGACCCTTACTATCACTCTTCTTCTTAAAGTTAGCCAGGAGAATTTTCATGTCCTTGGGTGTCACTAGAAATATTTTGTTGATTTATGAAAGAATTCGGGTTTCATTGGTACATCATTGGTTCATCATTGATTCATTATTGGTTCATTATTGGTTCATCCATGGATGATGCATTGGGGATGGTAACCGCAATCAAACATTCATTCAAAACCAAAATTTTCCCGAAGTGTCATCACGAGGGTTATTTGATGATGAATTGGAAATTCAAAATTCAAACATCAAATAAGGCAATAGTGATGGAATGGTTCAAATCCTCAACCAGTCATCTCTCCAAAAGATCTCATAAATTACAACAATACCTACATTTCAAATGTTTGGAATGTTCCTGAACAACATTCACTCCACCGCTCATTCCTGCTCCTCCCTTCATCATCATGCTCTCCGAAGTGGTGGTTGTATCCATTTTAACGGAGCCTAACCGAGGACGAGCCTTCTTTTTGCTATCCATTAATTGAGCGAGCAATTCCTCACTGTTCATTTTTGTATTGTTTTTTATGGTCTTTGAAAAACCTCTCTACTGTACGCTATTCTTCGTTGCAAAGACAGTATTGATTCTCTCTGACCTTTCAACGGATTTCAAATCGTGAGGAGAGTTGTGTGTGAGTGCTGGGCAACACAACGCAGAACCAGCCAGCACACACCATCATCATGGAGAGATAATTCCTGTCATATTTACATCATCCCTTAACGATCGGATACATATCGCTCAAGTGGGTTGTCCAACGCATTGGTAAACACCCTGCAAACATCTCTTTCAAATGTATATCAATTTTCACTCGATTATCTATGCAATGATTCCACCCATTTTGAATGTTATTTACAGAATTTATATAGTGTGTAATAATGCATTATTGTAACTTTCGAGGAGAGCTGAAAACCCTCAAAGGTGGCATGCTTGTGTAGATCATGTCCTTTTCCTTTGAAAGACCACTATTCGTCGTAGCATGTTGCCTGGATTCAGCTGCATTCAAGTCTCTATCCTTTCGTGTATTATTTGCAAGAGTGTTATTGTTGTTGCTTCGTGACGAGGAGGGGCTTCTTGGAGATGAGGTCAGCATTACTCCGCCCATTAAACTGGCTTGTGACACCATCTTTTTTAGATTCAAAATTTGAGTAATGATGGTGGCTTCCTTATCCAATTGTGTTTGTTGTTTGGTTTCGGTCATTCGACAAACATTGAGCAAGTGTTCCTTTTCAACACTATTCATTTCATCTTCGAGTTTCTTAAACAATTGTTGAAGGCGTTCCTTCTCAGATTCAATAAATTGTTCGGTGAGCGCTTGTTGCTGCAACAACTGTTCAATTTTCATTTGATAATCCTTTCGTTCTTGTTCGAATGAAAGCTTTTCCATGGTCAGATATCGATATTCTTCTTCGAGTTGCTGCTTTTCAGCTGTGTTTCGTAAGTGTTGCTCAGACACACTCTCAATAACCTCTTTCATACGTTTCAATTCAGTACCATACATGTCCATGGCTTCTTGAAGTTCCATATTCTTGACGAATGCCCTGTCCAACTGTGCATGTTTTTGTCTCAATTCGTCTCGCAATTGATTGCACAAATCTCGCAATGCAGTACTTTCTTCAATCGTACCTTCAAGGGTGGAATTTAAAATTTCAGTTTTCCTTGTTAATTGCTGTTTTTCTGTTTCGATTTGAGAGCGCTCCTTCGAAAGAGCTTCAAGACTGCTCGATAAGGCAGAGACCTTCATTTCTCGGTCTTTGAGAAGACTCTCCAGTTGCTTATTCTCGCTACAAATTTGTTCTTGAATCTGTGAAGCCTTATTCTCAAATTCAATGAGCTTTTGGTGCTCCAACTCGACTTGTTGTTCATAAAATGTTTTGGTTTCTACTATTTCATGTTCCTTTTTCTCCAGAGTTGAACTCAAATTGGAAATATTCTGCTGGAAACTCTTTTCCTTTTCGTTGAAGACCATTTCTTGTTGTATCTTTTCTTGTTTGACACATTCGATTTGGTTTTTAAGTGCTTTTTGAACACGTACATTAATGTAATGCATAACTGCGCCAGAAATCGCCAAAATAAACATCAATAGCCATGATATTGAAATGACATACTCGTGATGAGACCCAACAAGATTCTCAAACAAGGAGACAGCACCTTTGTCAGATTCATGAACCACTACTAATGAGCCTCCAATCGGTATAACTTGTATCAACTCTGTCAGTGAGAGCCTCTCGTCTTTGGTAAGAAGAGTGTCAAGGGAATTAAAAATTTGGTCTACCATCTTTCCACAGGTCACTTCTTCGTTGTTATTTGTACTGTCAGAGTCATGCAAAGTTTTCTTCAAGTACTCGGTCATGCGACCTGTAGTGGCTTGCAGCTTCCTTTCAACAAATAGTAGGGCTTCTTTCCCAACAAGAGATTCAATCACTTTGTGTTGACATGAGGTCAATGGTAATTGGGAAATCTCTTGAATCACACGTTCGAATTGACTTTTTTTGGACAACTCTTGCAAGTCAGTCTCTGAAGAAAGAGCTAATCGATAGGACCTGATATCTGTCGGATTGAACAATAAGGAAACTCCGGTACATTCCTTAATTACCGATTTCATTTGCAAATCCATCATGCTCTCAATTTGATCTTGGTACAAATTTCCATCTTCTCCCATTCCCCGATATAATGAAGTAACCTTCTCAAATATTAAATTTTTGGCCAATTTGGAATGACATGCCTTTGTATCTGGTTGTGTAGCAGCTATATTGACCTTCAACGCCCGGGCCACTCCAGGAGGAGAATGGCCAATATTCAATAAGAAGAAGAAGGAAGAAATGGGATCCGTTGGGGTCATTATCATGATGATGATGATGATAGATACTTGTAGAATAGTAAAGAGTGAGGTCAGACGAGATCTCATCTTCCGATGAATCGATACACTTCCTGGCATCCTCGCTGGAATCGTAGTTTTCATGTCGATCCTCCTAAGGGTTGAGAGCAGTTGAGGTTTCTTCATTTTTTTGTGTTGTTGCGATTTGGAATTTGATCTCTAACTGAATTTGCGTTTCGACCAATAGTGAGAGTGCGTATGACAATCGTGACAAATCTCTCTAAATGCAGTATAATGATATAGTAGGAATGACTCCCTCATTGTACACACCTTCCAGTTTCATCTCACTAACTCGACACGCACGCATCTTTGAAAATGATCCAGTACAATGACTTCATTTAAATTTCTCGAGCAGAAGGGAAAAAGGTGAGTTTGGTTGCAGTATAAACTTCTCTCATGTTATTAAAATTATAAGATCATTTCTGCTGTTCATGCTTCTCTGATTTCTGTTGTGTGGATTCCAAATAGGTTCTCCAATAAATATGAGAGAATGGCATCAGGTCAGCATTGAGATGAGTAACCTCTTTGGAAATGACTGATTTCAAACATTTAAAAACAATGTTGTACCCATCACTCGATAAATGCAAACCATCTGTATAGGCACTCTCTTGTTTCCATAACTCAGAATTGGGTCCATTCCACAAGTCCACCAAATGTACTGCACAATTATCAGAAATGCATGTCTCCTCTTTTTGCACATTTTCCTTGAATCGATCGACTAAATCTCTTACAGCTTGTGCATAGGGTCTCACCAATGCTTCACTTCTCACTTCAATGATTCCATCATGATTATATTTTTCTTTCAAATAATTGGCATATTGTTGAGTATGAACGGGAGGTGGCGTACAAAGCAAAATGTCCAATCTTGAATATACGAGATTTGTTTTCAATAACTGAATGATGGCTTTCAAATTCTCGTAATAACGTTCAAGAGGAACATGTTGCTTGATACCTGAAACATGTTCACTACTGGCATCATTCGCTCCCAAACAAATAAAAACAGAAATTGTGGGCAATGATGACAAGGAAACACCACCTTCCGTGTCATAATCATAATTTTTCATTGAAACAGCACACTCATAAAAGGCACCATCAAAATTGTTTTTTAAAGCCTCCAAAATCATATCGGAATTATATCCAGAACATCCCCGATTGATGATATCCACTTTCACAGAGTACCAATCCAATAAAAGTGAGTGCAAACCGTTCATTCGAGTGGATTGTTCAGTGATGGAATCACCCAATAAATAGAGAGTTGGTCTTTTTTTGAAAAGAGAATGTGATGGCATGGGTGAAGTAACTTTTTCCATTTTTTTTTCAAAACCATCTCAAAGAATTACTTCCGAGTGTTCAGACCTCGTCGCCCTCTTCGTTGTAAAAGCCAAAAACGTAGTTATAACGACAAGAATGCCTCTCTTTTGGGTCCTCAATTAGAATCCCATCTGGATTCGGTGACCTTGCAAACAACTTCCCTTTTTAATTGACATTCAAATGTCAATTTCGAAGTCGCTGTGATTCATGTCAAGTTTCAGATATTATTACTCATTCACAACTTTTTGACCACGCCAGAGGTAATGTGTGTGAGATTAGTAATTGGATGAGGAGGTTTCCGTTGGTAACCAATGAACCAATACTTTCAATATTTGAAAATTTCCTCGAGCGAAACTCGCCAAAATCAGTTTCCAAATATATCCATTCTGGCATTCCAAATTCATGTCACAAAATCGAAAAAAAATATGACACCTGCCAAACTCTCTGCGTTGCTCTTTCAGCTTTTTGCTTGCTGTTTGATGTTATTTCATGGCATATATAGCTTTCCAATGGCACGGAGCACATTCGCTCCATTTCAGCAAGTTGCAGTCCGGTGATTTACACCTTGTCAAGTGTCAAATTGTACGTTGCCAATGTCTCTTATGAAAGTGGTTCATTGTTTACTGGAACTGTCTTGTCCTTTGGTCAGCCAGATCCTTAACTTCAGGTGGAGGACCCATGTACTTACAAGCCATTAGCTCAGGAGCTGTTGTTTCTGGAAAATCGCTTGTGGACGCCTCCGACAGTGTCACGACCTTTGCAGTCACTTTGTCCACTTCCATTACTTCGGATGTTCTCTTCCAAGCAGCCGTAAGTTATGGAGGTACTAATATCACTGATACAAAAATGGTTCGTGTGAATAACAAGCAAGCAAGCGAAGAATCTCGATTATACCGACACATGGATTGGAAGACGGGATGTCCAGAAGCAACAGGGCAGCACAGGATGTGACTCTTCACGTTGTTGTTGTATGGATGGACAAATTGTGACAACAAGAAAGGGATTGAATTTAATTCAAGTCGTTGGAAATGTGTCGGGAGTTTGTGGTGGGCAAAAAACAGTGACCATGTATATCGGAGACATTCATTCGTCAACTGGTGTGTTTGGCACCACTTCTTTAGGTGATACCTTCACTTTAACTAAAAATGGGAATTGCAATGGACGCATCATTCAAATAATGCATGCAGTGCCATGTCGGTGTGCTCGGATGGATGCATGTCCACGTGCTACAGAACCTTCATCTTCTGCTGCATCTTTTTCTGTTTTCAAGAGTGCTCGTGAAGATTCCAAGTGGAGTTTGAGCAATTTGTCTTTCCTTATGGTA